GAGGGGATGCCAGAGTCTGGGGAGCCCGTGGTGCCCGACACAGCTCCTCTGAGAGGAGGCTGCAGGCTGTGGATCCATCCCTGCCACCTCTCCCTGTATGGTCCCACTGGGATTTTGACGTAGCCACCACCTCTGCCTGGCAAATACAGCATTTCTCAAACCAGAGCAGCCCCAGGGCTCGTGGTTTTTTGTTCAAAGGCTGTTTCTTCTCACTTTTCAGTACTGCTGGACGTCAAACCTTCACTTTTCTGTTTCTGCAGCTGGAATGAGGAGAAAAGCAGGATTAATCCCCCCTGACTCACTCACAGTGCTGATTCCAGCGCTGCTGTGAGTCCCACGCTCAGCTCTCCACAAGGCATGTGCAACATTTCCTGGGAAATAATAGGCAGCAGCTTGCAATATCACAGGCATTGTTTCATCCAAAGAGCTCTGGATGAATGTCCTGGGCAAACAGAGCTCAGTCTTTCTCATCAGCTATTGTACTAGGCTCTCAGATTATTAATTAAGTCCTCTTGTTTCAGGATATTTCTGAATTCAAGCAGCTCCTATTTTTTAAGACCTCTTGTGCCCATACACTGTAATTAAAGCTCCATCAGTTTGTATAAAAATGCTGCTTTGACAGCTTTTGTAAACCAGAAGCAAAATCTCAGCTCAACTTGAAAGATGAATAGGACTCAGAAAGTCTGGCAATCGTATTTGAGTTCTTTTGCCCTCATTTGAGAAATGTTCCTGTCTAAATGGAAAAATGCCTGAAAGACTTTGTTCTCCTTTAAAATTTAGTGTCCTCAGAGCCTGTGCTCTTTGATCAACAAGCCTCAGTACTCGAGCTGCTGAGGGGCTTTTCCTCCACAGCACTTGGGAGGAGATGGGAGCTGCAGCAAAGCTCCTGTCCCACCCATGGATGAACAAGTGAAGGAACGTTCATTACCCACACATTAAACAATATCAGCACAATTGGTGCTCCAGGGCACTTCCCAACTTATTTTAATGATGGAGTGGCTGAGAGTACCCTGCCTACATGATGAATTTTTTCATGTCAGAAAACTCCCTGCTCTGTGATGCCGTTTGGGCAGGTTTTGTCACGGATCTCGGCAGGGAAAAGAGGCACTGGAAGAGGTGTGCAAGGAAGGAGTGCAGGGCCATTGTCACAGGCTGGACCAGCACTCTGACTGCTGCCCTGAGCACTGGTCTCTGCCCTGCCAGGCTCCTGAGGCAATACAGACATGCTGAGAAAGAGCAAATGCAGTTACCTGGAATTCCCACCTCCCCTGAGCCTTACAAAATGAGAGATGCTCTGTACATTAAAGTCCCTAATGGGCAATAAAAGGGTTTCACTGGTTGTGTATTGAATCCTCCTGGGTGCTCTGCATGACAGAGTTATTCTTCATAAAATGCCAAGCACATCCTTGATGACACAGAGGTGACTGGAAATTCCTTCTCAGAAAATAAACTCATGCACTGGTGCTGCATAGCCTTGAACTGCCCAACGAACCCCAGAACATTTTGCTGCAGTGTAACCCAGGCAAATTCCTTCCCAAGGGAGGGCTGATCCCTCCAGGGAGAGGTGTTTGGCTTTGTGCTCCCTTCAGGGGAGTAATCCCTGGGGTCTGTGCCTTGCAAGCAGCTCCTTCCCCTGTCCATACCTGTGTGGACTCTGCAAGGACATGTCTTTACTGCTTGTGGCACACACCTCTCTCCAGGTGTAATGAATGCGTTTCTCAGGATAAGAATTATGCCACAAGCATTCCCACTGTTTCAGAATTAAGCTGCTGCTTAACTACACTATTTGGCTTATTCAATTATAAGGAGATAATTGGAGTTTACCTCTTTCATGGCATCATCTATCTGTTTTAGCCCCTCGTAGTGGTCCCTGGATTCCCACAGAGGCTGGAGCATCACCTCCTCCACTTCTGGGAACAGCTAGGTGGAAACAAGAGAAAGAATATCAGCATTTCCCTTTGCATTCCTTAACTTGCTGCATTATTTAACTGTACATGCTGAAAACGGGGTGGCGGGAGGGGTGTGGGAGGCACATCCCCATTTCCCTGGGTAACTGAACACCTGGAGGGGCAAACACTGCAGCTCTGCTCTCCCCCTCCTTGCTGTCTGGCCCTGGGTGACTTTACCTTCGTCACAGTTTCGAACATGGGGATGAGGACGAACTTGAGGAACCCGATCTGTGCCGTGGGCTTGGTCACTTTGTCGCGGTCCATGAACGGCGCCACCGGCAGCCCCTCGGATTTTTCTCGGTCGCTCTGGAACAAACCCGGAGGTAACAAACATTAATCCTGTCCAGGAGGCTGTGAGAGGAGTGATGCACCCAGCAGATCAGTATCCCTCAGATACAGATCACAGAGGTGTCTGAAGACAGCACGGAATAGTGATGTGCTTCCCTCGGGCCAATGTCTCTGCTTTATGCAGAGCAACATCTGAATAAAGAGAATTCTGTTCAGTTATTTCTGCTCAGCACCAGCATCAAAGTGTTCAGCTCCAGGCTTACAGGGTGGCTGACTTCCTTTGCAAACCCGCTGGACTTGTGAGGCAAAATATTTCAGAGCATTCAGAAAGCTGCTGATGACTCTTGCTGCTCTCAAAGAGAAGGAATAGTTCTGTGATTTCTCCATTGTTCTCTGGGGAGTAATTATTTTCAAGTATTCAGACAGAAATTATATCTCCTTCTTTACTAATGATTAAAAGAAAAAATCAATTGCATCCACTTGCTTACTGAGCAGTTTCTTTTGCTGGCATCCTTCTCTGACTTTCTGTAATAGAAGGTTTCCATGGAATCACAGAATGGTTTGGGTTGGAAAGGACCTTAAAGATCACCCAGTTCCGACCCCCTGCCATGGGCAGGGCAACTTCCACTAAACCAGGTAGCTCAGAGCTAGAACCTGTCTGGGCTGTCAGACAATGAAGCGTGTGTGAGATCTGGAAATAGCAGAAAATTGTGAAATTGTGCAATTGCATTTCTCTCTCACTCTTACCTGCATAAAATACTCCTCCAGTAAGCAATCTACCCAGGGCTCTGCTACTTCCATCGGGCGGACTTCGTTGGAGATGTCACAGCATTTTATCAGTACCATCTTCAGCTGAAAGAGGATAACACTTCAATGCTGCAGTCCTAAAGCCAGCCCCTTTCCCCCCATCCACAACCTCACAGTGCAGTGGGAGGCAATGCTTTCAACCAGAAAGGACAATTTCAGGATTAAACCAGAGGTCTTAAATGATCTGGATCCTTTTTCCCCTCTCTCAGTTGCTCTGTGTAAATCATTTATCCTTTCTCTGCTTTGGTTTCCCCCTCTGCAGCACTGGGATGTGACACAGTGGGATGTGCACTTATCTGCTGCATGAAGAGATTCAGTCACAAGTGATCACTGAGCTTTTTGTGGAGCTCTCAGAGGCAGCTGGGAAAAGATTTCCCTGGAAATCAAAGACAACTGCTCTGGGAAATAAAGGAGACTAGAGGTTTTACTCTTACGGAATTTTTTTTGCCCCACAGCAAAGGACTATAAGAATTTGTGGTTTAATAGAGTAAAATTTTTTTATTCTCCCGATGGGACTTCAGGATTTCTAAAGCTGGAATAATCTATTTAATAAAGAGCACTTCCAAATTCTAATTATTTTTTGGTGGGGCAGAGAATATAGGAAGGATTCTTTTTTGATAATATATATTAAATCTTGCTTTTTAAACAAACAAATGTTAATCTACAAGCTTTCATTCCATGCACAGAAAAATAACAATCCAGGAAACCTCCTTACACAGGTCATGTGTTCTTCATTTGTGTAATCAAAGTTTTCCATTTTTTCCTTGAAAGAGTCCAGTATTTCTGCATGTCTCGCCATGTCTGTAGCCAGGATTAATGTAATTATCCCCTAGCAAAGAAAACATGTTCACATATTAACTTGACATTCCTTACAAAGTCTGCTATGGTGAAGCCAAGTAGGGTCTGTGTTGCACACAAAATGCCTGAGATGCACTGAATTTCTCATGCTGCAAGGGGAAGTTTCTGACTTGGAACCGCCAAGGAAACTGGAAGCAGGTTATGAAGAGTTCATGGTGCATGAGGATCACGGTTTTATGTGATATTCCAGAGACACTGAGGTTTTTCCTTTCTGACTGACTAATTGCAGAAAAGTAAACTGTACAACAGGATGTTAAAAGCCACACTCTGGCTGCCAAGATCCACTTTCATTTCCTTGGAAGGCACCCTGGGTTTTGCTGCTGACTCTTAGTGGCCCTGAGACAGAAATCATGATGTGGGTGCCAGCTGAGCCCATCCTCTTTGGATTAAGGGCTTTGAAACACTTGGACACGGACAAGGAGCTCTGTATCCTCCTTCTGTGCAGAGTTTATGATGGGAAAACGTGTGGCTAATTTAAAGCTGTGTGTTTTCACACAGAAGAGTCCATTCTGTGCCAGTTTCCCACATATTGCCAGAATCAGGAACTCTGACCAGCTCTTATACTGCTTCTTCACTCAGTGTGTAAGGAAGGAGAAATGGAGAAATGAAGACTGAATTTTGGCCCTTAGAGCACTAATGGGAATTGTAACACTGTTCAGTGCCTCATGGATTACTGTGATGATTCCCAGTGCACCAGAGCCTCTTCCAACAGTACAAGAGCTCTGCTGTTGCAAATCTTTTCCCCTTTTGAAGCCCCTCTTAAAATTAATACAGCGTTCCCTTAAAGCATAAACTTCTGCTGTGGGAGCTTAATCCTTCCCCAGCCAGAGCTAATTGGCTCCTCCAACAATATAAATATCTACCCCCAAAATGTCATAGGCTTTAATTGTCAGGATGCACTCGGTTATTCCTCAGCAATGCATTCCAGGGAGCGCTGCTGTGGAAATTTTCCAAGAATTCCTCTCGGATCCCAAGGAGGGGCTTTTCCAGCCCTGCCCTCCAGGGAGAACGAGCCACTCTCAGCATGGAGCAGGGAATTCCGTGCTCGACGGAAACCCCGGGAACGGCAGCGCGCAGGAGCAGCGTCCCTACCTGTCTTATCTGTTTGAACTGCTCCTGGTCCACGTTGGAGAAGATGTTGAACTCTGGCTGGGAGATGATCTGGAAGGCCACGGCGCAGTGGTGGTTCTCCAGCGGGGAGATGTCGTTGTAGCGCACGGCCAGCTCCGTCCGCGCGTTGATCTGGTAGCTGGGGGACGGGAAAGGAGTCACCAAAAACTCCTGCAGGCACCCTCCAGCTGCTCCAAACCACGCTGCTTCCTCTTGCTTGCATTCTTTTCAATGCTTTTTCACTTAGCTGCAACTTTGGGGTTTGTTTGGTTGTTGGTATTAAATCAGATTTTCAGAGAAAGTTGATATTACTTTAATATCATCTCAGGTGCTGATTCCCCTCAGTGGATGGACATTCACCCAAAAGGGTTTTTTGCCTTCTTTAAATTTTGCCACATCTCTAGTTTAAGATGGTGTAGAGCAAAATCAGAAGGAAGTGTTTGGGTTTAATTCAACCCCCACTAATGGCAAATGCAAGGATTCTCACTGATCCCAGTCAGAGCTGCCTCATTTAATGAATGCTTACAAATAAATCAGATATTCTCTCTTTCACACAAAAAGTGTCTGTGGGTCAACGGCAATAAATTCCTCATATGAAATTGACAGAGTAAAGTACTCTTCATTATTCATAATTATGAAATAAAGTGTAAGCTAAACCCCCCCTTTGCATTTTAGTGTAATTATTCCATTATAATAATTTATGGCTCTGTTACCAGCTGCAAAGTATTTCACCTTTTTTTCTCAGGTGCTGGGGGGGGAAAAGTGTTTGAATAGAAATCTGAAAAAAAAACATTTTCCTTACAGAAGCAAGGACAGCTGGCAAAACCCAACCCAGACCTGAGCTCTGCTTTGGCCCACATGTGACTGACCAGCAGGGCCTTGGGAAAAGGTCTGGATGTGAGAAGGAAAACCACAAAATGCCAACCAGTGTTACCTTCCCAATAAATTTTAAGGGAGGAGGAAGCAAGAGAACTGACTCACGTATTGTTATAGCCTGGATGGTCCAAGTCATGGCACACTGCTGCCGTCATGAGAATCAAAATGTCAATCTGGGAAAATTTCTCCTGCAAAATACAAAACATGAATGTGGTATTATGATTTCTACTTCCTCTATCCCTGTAAATTAAAATAAATAAAGAAACCAGACATATTTACTTTTTAGAGAAATGCAAATCTGAGCAAAATGAAGCAGTTTTCCTTAGATGAATTTACTTCAGTCAAGAAAGAGAAATCTGCCTTTCCTTCCAGTAAAAATGACTCAGATTTGCCTTTGTTGCATTAAATAACAGCAGCTCAGAGGAGGCAATTTCCTTGAAACTTGCTCTTACTGCAGAGATCATCTAAAAGCACTGAGACATTAGCACAGTCTCCTACAAGTCATTTAAATATCCTGGTTAGTTAAAGGGAGGACTGGAAGATGGTTCTGTTGCCATTGCATTCTGCATTAAATAAAGTTAGGAAAAGAGCAAGAAAAATTAAATCTTGTGTTCCCACAGCTTTTGAATAGCATGGACTTACATTAAAGCAAATTTTTCTTCATACTGCTACTGGCAAGAAAACAGACTTAGGCCAGTAACTGATATGTGTAACTACGGAGAAAAAATGGGGGTTTTTAAGTAAAAAAAGCAGTTTTGTAAAGAAATGAAACAAATATATGAGTGCAGGTTATCCAGACAGTGAAATTAATTGATGCCTACAGTTTTGGACAAAATAAAGGTCAAATGTGTGTCCTGCATATAATACATGCCAGGTTACAGGACAAGCACAGGTAAAAGCACACATTTGGGAACATTTTGTGCCCCAAACAAAGAACATACCCACAGCACATAATTCAGTAGGGGTTTGGCTGTCATTCCTAAATGCCTCACTCCATCAGAGTATGGACTTTGGACATCCAGGAGGTGAAGTGACCTTCCCAGCAGTCTCAGAAAGCTGTGCAGGGGTTTGGGGTCAGGAATGGGGTGGCAGAGTGGGCAGCCAGAGGTGGAAATGCAACACTTCTCCTTGTGTGTGTGCCCGGGGACTGAGCAAGTGCAGCCTCCTCCAGGGCCACCACTTGCCAGCTGGCTGGTGGCCCATTTTGCAGGAGAAGTGGCTCAGGATGGTTTGAGGATGGCAGTGGAGTGGTGCCATGGAGGGGGTGGTACCTGGAGGCTGCAGAGTGAGATCATGCTGTACATCATCTGGGTCACGCAGAAGCAGTGCCGGAAATTGTGGAAGGGGTTGTTTCTGTAATTGTCGTGAATACACAGCTGCAGAGAGAGGCAATGAAGCTGTCAGAGGTGGCACAGATCTTTACCAAGCACTGGATATTTTTAAAGGAGTCCTATGGGGCCAAGGATTATTCTCTGCTAGGACAGAGTGACAGCACAGGGCTTCTGACACTTTCTGCCTTCCTGGGTGAGATTTGTGTGCTCCAAGAATTCATCAGCAGGTAGCTCACAGAAAATCCCCTCTCATACCAGCCAGCAATGGGCAAACATCCAGCACAGCTGCATCTCAGTCCTTAAGAGAGGACTCTCTGATCTCATCCTGAATTTGTATTTCAAACCTTGCAGTGGCTAAATGGGGAACAGTAAAAATGGGGAAAAGTAAACAGAGCCCACCCCTGTTCCCCTCTCCTGCTGAATAAAAACTGCAGCTCTGATACCTTGAGGGCTGAAATGTGGCTGTCATTCCATTTGCCAATGCTCAGAGGTGGCACTTTGGGACGTGTTGTTTGGCAAAGGGAAGATGTGAATGCACACCAGGCTGGAGCACACCTGGGTGGGTTTTCTACACCAGTCACCCTGGGAGAGATCGAGCTGTTATGGGCTCACAGGGGCCATTGTTGTGTGGTTTAACTTTGTACAGATCCTGGCTTGGATGCCCTCATTCCACAGGCAGAATAAAACCTGTCTGTCCCTGTGTCCTGGCTAGTGCCAGCCAGGCTGGCTGAGGGAGGCTGGCACAGCTGGGCTGACACATGCCATGGTCATTATTCCAATGCTCCTCTGGTCTCCTGTCCCTCACAAAGCAGTCAAGAGTCAGCAGCACTGCTGGACCCTTCTACTGAACCCTCCTCCAGAGCCTGAATTAATGACATGGACAGAATTCCTGTCCACTTCCCCAGCTAAAATCAGGAATTTACTTCAGGAGTCCTCACAGCCCATCAGGATCAAACACTTTAACTCATCACCTGACTTCTAGGAAACCTCAAAGCTCTGGATGAGGTCAAGAGAAGTGTGGTATTTCAATGCTTATTCAATACATCTGGGTTTCATTGCAAAAGCTGCACAGATTATTCTGCAGCAAGGATTTTAGAAACACATTTCATTATTTTAAATGACTTAGGAATGGCACGGTATGGTTGTCAGCCAGGCTCACAGGTGGTGAGCATCTCACAGCCTACACATGGCACTGGACAAAACTGCATGGATGCAATGTATACATCCAGCACTGGAGCCCAGAGCATCCCAGGAGACTCCTGACTCAGAGCACTGAAGGGATGGAGTCACTGTGTTGCATTAATCACTCTCTCCTCCTCTTTCCAGAAGACTTCTGTAGCCAGTGGATGTGGGAGCAAGAAAGCCAGGATAAGCACGAGGTGGTTTTTTCTCTCCTAATTGAGTTCAAAGTGATGCTCATACTGTACACGGGGAAGTATCCCACTTTGGACCAGAGCACTTAAGGCATTTAAAAATCACATTTCTTTCTGCAAGAAACAGGATAGGAAAGATAGGAAAACTCACCCTGTGTTACCTTTGTAGAAAATACACAACAAACTCCCCTTTTGTTGCTCAGAGTAAGGCTGTCTGAAATGCTAGTGGTGACAAATTGCTTGGAGAGACAAGGCAGGGGAAGCTGCCTGCAGCAGTGTGTGTGGGTGGGCTGTTGCTGTGTGTTGACATATCACCTTGCTTCCCATGTTTTGGGGCTGTGAAACAGGAGGGGGAGATCTTCTGGTTTATCTACTCTGTGTTACCCTTGTTTGTGTTGGGTTTCATCCCACCCCTTATCCCAGGTCAACACCACCCCGCTTTTCATCTGCCTTCTTTGGAGAGAGAGATTTACCAGCTTTTGATCGTTTTTGGTGTCTCCTTTGATGCAGTCATATTATTTTTCTAAAAAGGCTTCACCAGCGCTGGGAATAAATTCCAGGTGAGCCTCCTGCCTCCTGTGGTGACATTTTATCCTTTATTCCAGGCTCTGCTCAGCCTTGTGCCTCGTTGTGTCCCTCCTCCATCAGGACACCAAGCAGTGAAAGCCCCTTGTGCCTCCTGCCATTGCTGTACTATAAATAACACGTGATGGACCCAGTCTTTTCTTTGTCTTTTCCAGCTACCTCCTGATTTTGTGAAATTTTTTAGGACTCTACATCCATCTAAAACAGTGCCCTCTACTCTCTGCAAGCTCCTCAGGGAATTAGAAGAGATTTATGAGATTTATGAGTCTTTAGTACAGGAATCCTGTGAAAGATCTGTATGATGAATCCACACCGTGATGTTTTTAATTATTGTCTCTATCAATTTGTGAGACACAGAGATAAGTTTTTACCAGTTATAATTCCTCAGGTATCCCTGGATACTTTCTAAACAATGATTAAAATATTTACTGTTCTACAGTTCTTTAGGAACATGACAGTTTTTTTTTCTAAGAAAGCCAATATATTCTTAGCTTTTTAGCAAACACTTTCTTATGCTCTCCCTTGGACCTGAAAACTCACTGCTTTTTAAATATTCCAGTGTTTCTTCCTTAGACTTCTCACTTTTGGTATGATCTCATCTTTCTCACATTTTGCATCTCTGCAACATTCTCACATCAAAGACTGAAGCAAAGAAAGTTACCTTCTCAGCATTTCCTTTTCCTTCCTGACTTGCTCTTTTCTCTGCTCCCTGTGATTTAGTACATTGAATGATTATTGCACATATTGGCACTTTTTAGCTATATCTAAAGGCACTTGTCTTGCCTCCATTTACAGTAGGTATCAAGAGCATTCAGCAGAAACGAACTGCTTTCAGTAATAGAAACCTCAGCAAATGAATGCAAAACAGTTTAAAAAGAGTCATTTGTGACCACAAGAATGCAAATATTTTCTGAAGTACTCAAATTTTAAGAATTTATATAGACTGACTGCTTTCATTGGGATTACTCATGTGAGCCATGTTAATTCCATGACTAAATGCCTTGTTTATTGATGCTTGAATGTGAAAAATTGCAAACACCAGTAACTTGAAATACTCACCAACCACCTCTTCAACGTGATAGGATTGATGTTGAAGTCTTTTACCAGCCCAAGGTCGTGGTACATGTGCTCCAAACAGCTCAGCATCTGCAGCCAGGAACAGGCAGGTTATTGTTGGCTCTGTAAATATCCCTTGAGGACACCCTGTGAAGTGAATTTCCCCCTTGCAAGCATCAAATAATTGCAGAGGCCTCTTTAGATGAAAGAAAGATGTTCAAAGATTGCATGATTAAAGGCAGTGCAAGAGGGGAGACAGAGAAGGTCTGAAAGGTGTTTTGAAGCAGACACGCTGCTGTTGACTTCACAGGTTTTGTGCAGGGCTTTGAATATCACCAGCACTCTTCAGTAATTGTGATTCCTGTGTATCACAGCAATTCCTGCACACAAAAAAATAGTATTGCCATTTTTCTAGTTCAGCTGGGATGTGTCCTGTCACTCAGTGAAACCAGTGGGAGCTTTTCCCTGGATGTACAGGAATGGATCAGGCTCTAGCTGAATAGAAAATGACAGCAGAAAATAAGAGATCCCTAAAGAAACATTTATTTCAGGCATTTGTCAATACCTTCTTTCTTTATGACTTCTTGTGAGCTCCTAACTCTGCTACCTTAGCTCATATTTCTTGTTTAAAAGATTTCCCACTATAACCCTACAAAATTGCAGCAGTTTTGTGATTATCCCCTCATGGAGACTGTAACTATGGATCCCAATAGCTGAGATGCTAGGACAGGCAGCTCTTTTGAGACAACACCTGCTCTGCAGTAGCAAGGAGGATGCAGGTAATTTAGCACCACCTTTCATCCCAGTTTAATCATCTGGGCATGAAAGAACTGAAACCAAAAGATATTGATAACCTCAAGTGTTTGGGTGCTTAACAGCTTCCACCAGTCAGAAATGAACAGATTTCCTGGAGTTCAGGAGTTTATGTGTGTATGCATTCCCATTCCTGAAGGGCAAATCTGCAGGGGATGGAATGTGGCCATTGTGTTAAAAATGCAGTTCTTAGACTCTAAAGTGATCCAGGGGTTTCAGCATGATGAGTATAATGTCACAAATACAGCCCTGGAGGCATTTCTAGTTAATTTTCTGCTATTTAGGCTCTTAGAAACTCACCAGTAAAAATTATTTAATCTAATGAAACTTTATCCAGAGAATAAATCTAAGTCATGGAGTAACAGCAGGGCTGATTTTGAGTAATCCAAACAGGAAGAAACATTCCTGTAGGACCTGAGGGACAATGCCATGAGCTGAATTCTGCTCAGATCACACAGACAGCATTTTGCTGGAAATCCCTTCGTCCTGGTAGAATATATGCTTTGCAATCACATCAAGAATCACACAGAACAACTAGGCTGGAAGAGACTTCCAAGATATCAAGTTCAACCCATGCCCTCACACCTCAACTAGACCATGGCACCCAGTGCCACATCCAGTCTTTTTTTGAACACATCCAGGGATGGTGACTCCACCACCTGCCCAGGCAAAGCATTCCAATACTGTATTATTCTTTCAGTGATAAACTTCTTCCCAATAGTTCCATGAAAGACTTTCCAAGACAGTGAACTTTATCCAGAAGTGCTGAATTACCCTTAGAAATGCAGCTGTTGCCAAGAGAGCTTTGGGTGAGTGAGGAGGCAGCTCTCAATCCCAAAACCCCTGCCCCTGAACACAGGAGAATCTCAGTTTTCTTGGTCAGCAGCTAAAGCTTGAATATGTGACTCTTGTAAGGCTTGAAAAGTGAGAGGGCATTTGAGAAGGAGGAGCCAGGCTTGCTGCAAAGCAGTGTTTACTGAGATGCAGCACAGCACATTATTCATTTGCTTACAGATGACCGAGGTTTATGACCTGCCTGTCCCACACTGAGCACGTGGGCAAACACTCAGAGCTAAACAAGCACTGACAGAACTGAAATATTCTCTGTAAACATAAAGCAGAGCTAAGAGGGCGAGATAAACCCATATGGTGCTTGGCTCGCCACAGCTTGTGTGCAATCTCATTTCTGAGCAGGCTCCTCGTTGCAGGGCAAGTTTAATCTCCACACCCTCCTGTTTGCCTTGTTCATGCCACCACATAATGTTTCCTAGCCCTCTGAATGAGTTTCTGTGCTAAAGTGCTGTCCCCCAGTCCACAGGAAACCGTGGATAATGGATTTTGTCTCTCCTCATTCTTTCTTAATAGTCAGAACAGCAATAACCCAGCAGTGTTATGGTGCACCTGTCAGACTGTAATTCCCTCTTGCTGCAAAGACCTGACAGGCATTTATGGCCATGGTACAGAGAAAAGGGGCAGGAGAGGGAGCAGTGGCTGCAGAGCACCTCTGACCACACCAGGGAAGCTCTGCCAGCCTCAGGGAATGGGAGATGGACCTAAAGCCACCAGAGAGCCCTTCTGCTGTTCTTCCAGACATAGGAAATATCCTGAAGGGAATGTGCTCTTCCTGTGGATGTGCTATGGGCTGTTTTTCCTTGATATACTGAGCCAGAATTACTCTGCATGCACAGCCTCTGAGAAGGCAATGAGGGTGATTGCTGTTGGGGGTGTGCCAGAACTACCCAAGCCTTCCTCTGGGAAAAAAACCAGCACCAAACTCCTGGTTTAGTCCTGTCCTCCATTGTGTTTTTATCAAGTGAGATTTGCTTGTATTTGCTAAATCTGGTTTTACATTATATTATAAACTGTCCACTTTTAACATCCTCCTTCAGACTCCTACAGGTTTACACATAGACCTTCCAGAACCTTCTGCAGTACAAGTGATGAACGATGGATAACACTAATAGCAGTAAGAACAGGAAGAAAATGAAGCAATAAGGAGATACTAATTGGCTGTGAATGCAGCCTTGCAACCTCTTGAGAACAAACTGCAGAAAAAACTCTCAGCTGAAGGGGTGTGAATCAATGCCTGCACCTCTGCCTGCTGCTTTATTGATTTGAGTGGAGTTATTGATGATGTGCTTAAGCACACACTTCACTGGGAATTGATTTGTTCAGATAAAGTGGTATGAGAGAGCTCATGTGGCAGTAATGACAGTGCATCAGTTGAGGGACTTTAGTAGGAAGAGATTAAAGAGCAAATAAAGAGGAGCCAGGATATGACAAGCAGCATAATCTACCTGGCACCTGCTAGGAACAAGCACTGCATTTCTGGTGTGCTATGGAAATAAAAAAAACAGAGAGAGTAAGGGGCAGAAAAGGGGGAAACCCTGCAGACTGTCTCAAAGGGTTCTTCTGGCCTTGCTGGCTCTCAGGAAGTGCCAACCCAGCCAACGTGGCATCCTCACCTCGTTGGGCTCCCACAGCCAGACATCAAAGGTTGGTTTCCGTAGAGCCTCGATGGTCTCCTGGGACAGCATGTACTGCAGACAGAAAGGCAGGAGGTGTAAACAAGGGTGTCCCTGCCATGGGAATGCTCTTGGCATCTCCCTGGGGCTCCCAGGCTTCCATTCATGAGGGGTTTAGCCACATTTCCCAAGGAGAGAGCAGATGATCTCTCCCTCTGGCCACCCAACCCTCCTCACCCTTCCCACCAGCTGCTCGTTGGGGCAGATCCTTGTGGAGCAGAACTTGGGAGAAAAGGGAGAGTGGAGGTGTTAAGGAGAGGGTCATGGCTAAATCCAGCACAGGGAATCAAAGGCACAGGGCACAGACCATCCCTGGCTGCACTGGTTCTGCTGCCTGCAGAGCATCAAAGCTGCCAGTTAGGGAGGGGTGGTGTGAAGTGTCTCTGCTTACAGTGCTAAATTGGCTGGTGGGGATGATATGTTTATTTTCAGATGATTTATGCTCTCATTTCTAGTGTTTTTTCAAGAGTGCCCACAGTTTCAAATTGGTTGTCAGTCTGCAAGATTCAAGTGATTTTTTATCATTACGCTCAGAAGCCTTAAACAAAATCAAGCCCATTCACCAGTTATGGTTGTATACAAAATGAAAAGAAAAGGAATGTGCAGGGTTAAAAGACATGGATGGGGGTACCAGGACGCTACAGATTCATCTTTTCACGATCCTACTTATCAGTGGGTTTGGGACTCAAAATCCTCGTGGCTTCAAGTGGCCCATTTACCATGGCTGTCTCTAGTTTGGGTTTACTCTCCTGAGCAGGTGAATGACAATTTCTGAGCCATCAAGTTGTTTGATACTTAATCCAAGGAGGAATAACAGAGAAGATTAATTTTTCCTCTTCAGAGGGCAAGGACTTTTGCATTTGCACACACAGTGCACACTTAGTGTGACTTTCTGCAAGAAAACTGCAAATTAGCAGCACAGATTTAGTGTTGCAGTGACAGCTTCTTTCAGCCTCCCTGACATTGGACAAATCCAGCATCTGACAATTGAAAACAAATTTTGCAAATCTCCAAAACCCAAAACTCCCATGAGTTTTCTTCTAGGAATAATGCAGAAATACAAACTACCAGTCTACTCTGCAGTGGGTCAGTGCAACTCCTCATAGCCTTTATTCTTGATTCAAGATCCTAATGCAGCAGTCCATCAAAGTTTAATCTGACATGTATACTTATCAAGGGAAAAAAAAAACTGGCTTCGAACTGATGTGCTCTGTAAAATCATGTGTTAGTGTCAGGAGCACAAGCCTCCTGGGCAGAAGTTAATTAAAAGAAGTCCCAGAGTCTCTGCTTCAGTGGCAGAGCAGAACAAAGAGCAGAATTTACTGCTCTGCTGGGCTCTGAAGACAAGTGTGCACAGAGCCACCTCCAAATCATGCACCTGCATCACACAGGAGCGTGAGGATTCAGGGTGCCTGAGCCAGCTTTGGTGCTCAGGAGATGCCCAGCTCAGGTTCAAGGAGATGCCCATGGTTAAACCATGATTTACAAATGTGTGAGCTGGTGATTTGTCAAGGCCTGAGCTGGGCACTGGGCAGGCGTAACCTGGCCACATCTAATAATTCTTGTGGGCAAAGACTGCTGGTTCTGGGACCAAAGATCCTTCATGGTTTCAGCCTCATTCATCACTGTGGATTTGTACTTGTATTTGCCCAGGAGACATTTTTCTTCCAGCATTACTGTTTTCTCTAGCAAATACACTAACTCATTTTCTCAGGGACAATGAATCATTTTGGAGAGAATCCAATGTCGCATTTTCTCTTTGTTTCCCTAGGTGAAGCATGCCCATAAATTACATTTTAAATTAAAAAATAATCTATTAGGAGAAAACAGGCAGCAGCACTACTTTCAACCAGAACACAGCATTACAGGGTGTTTTTGATTGTTGCTATGAGCATGGAGAATAAACAAATATAACTAGACAAAAGAGTGTTAAATGTTGATGAATGCACCATGCTCATTAACATTTCAAACACTAATGAGCTTTCAAGTATTAGAGACTACTGAGAATTAAACTTTAAATCACCGTGGGCAACTGATGGCTTTTTCCATTGGCTCACAGGAGTTTTGGATCAAACCTTGGGTTTAGAATTACTAGGAGTGAATGGCTAAGGAGTCAGGCATTGTAAAGCAGCACCTGTCAGGATGGCAGCCATGCAGTGGGAATGTGGGAAGAGCAAGGATTGTGTGGTACCTTTGGGTAGGAGGGTACATCCCGCCGGGGAGCTGGCCTCTTGTTTTCATCCAAAAAGCTGTACTTGCAGGGACAGTTAGTCCTGAAATGAAATATTCATCTGTTAACATTGAGGGAACAGAAGCACAGTGCCTCAAAAAGTGCCAGAAGTGCTCTGGTGTCCCAGTAGCCACCTCTCAGAGAACCATCCCACTCCACAGCCTCTCCCTTTCTAATGCAGTGTTGTTCAAATGTTTTGAAAGCGTGATCCTCCTTAGGATTTTCTGCCCTTGTACAACACCCCTGTTGCCTTTTCTCGGTCTATTTGCATACAAGAGAGAAGCATCTGAGTTCAGGCGTGTATCCATGGATACCCAATCACTTCTCCTTAAACCAAGTAACTTCAGTGAGCAGCTCGCTGTCCATGGCATCCTTCTCCAGGGCCACCAGGGACCACGCTGGCCATGGGCACGGGCACACCTGTGCTGATTTACTGCTGAAGGCACCCACTGAGCCCTGCTGCAGCCCATAAGAACTTCCACTTTAATGGTGTGAGCTCCTTGCCAGCTGCCTTTCACATGGGACAACAGCAGAGAGGCACAGCCTTGGCAAACAGCTCTGCTTGGCTCCCTGATCCTGGAGAAAGGCAGCCACTGCCAGCAATTACAGGTAATTAACACTTGCCTGGTTATTAACACTGCCAGTTATCTATTCTTCTTTCCTCTGCAGATGGAAAAGCCAAGCTGATGCTTTTCCATCTGAACAGAGGCTCAGGGGGGACCTTATCACTCTCTGCAATTTCCTGATGAGGGTGCAGCCAGGTGGTGGTCGGGTTCTTCTCCCAAATGGCCTCAAACTGTGCCTGGAATGGACAGGCTGGACATGAGGGAGAATTCCTTCACTGGAAAGGTGGTCAAGCATTGGCAGGGGCTGCCCAGGGAGGTTTGGAGTCCCCATCCCTGGAGGAGTCCAAGGAAGGTCTGGATGTGGCACTCAGTGCTCTGGGCTGGGGACAAGATGGGGATCAGCTGGGACTGATGGCCTTGCAGGGCTTTTCCCAGGTAGCTGTCCACATGGACTTCATTAACTCTCATGTGAGGCTGATCTTCTTGCATTTTGCATTTATAGAGTCATGGAATGGTTTGGGTTGGAAGGAACCTTAAAAATCATCCAGCTCCACCCAACCTGCCATGGGCAGGGATGCTGCTCACTAGGTCAGGACCCCTTCCAATCTGGCCTTGAGCACTTCTAGGGATTTATCCCTGGAGTCCTAAAATTTGGATTGTCCTCTCTCAATTTTCGAGGCCCCTGCCAAAGGAAGCAAAAAGAAACTTCTCAAAAGAAGCCAAGCAAAGCATTCCTTTAACTTGGTTTGTGCATTTTTGATTATTGTATTTTGCATTGTATCTCTTTTGAGTGATTCTCTTCTCTGTTGGGAATTAGTCCAGGTCTGTTTTCTCCTCTTAACTTTGATGCCTGCTGTCATTTCTGGTGGCACTGTCTGAATCCCGTGAAAGTTATGTCATTTTACACTCATAGTGGCCAGCTGACTTCAACCAGCTGCTTTTTCCTGCCCTGTTTAAGGAGATTCTCAGTTGATGAAAAGCTGTCTTAATCGTTTCTAAAGCTGTTTCCTCAGAACTCCACTGTGTGGGGTATAAGTAGGATAAAAATAGTGAGATTGGGGCATTCCTTGCCCTAATTGGAGCTGACTGCCAGGGTTAGCTGAGGGTCAGCCAGCTATCTCTAATTCCTAGCTGTAGTAGGATATTGAAGCCTTCATTCCAGCACACTGGGGAACACACCAGAGCCAGGATGCATCAGACCTTCACAAATGTAAAACTGTATCTGCAAATGATCGTGATTTTAAACGACACCATAATGCTATTAGCATCTGCCAGTGGTGAGTGCAAAAAGCAGACAAGGAAAAAAAAAAAAAAAGCAATTTGAGGAGGATGCAAATGGAGCTGCTTTGCTCTTCTGAACAGAGAGATGCACAATTCACTGTGCTTTTATAAACCTGGCTGCTCAGCCTTACTCTCTCATTTAGTAATGGAACAGCAAATATAAGGATAGGTAAACATCCATACAGCTGTGTACACTGTGATCTTATTGAAGGAATACAGGCACTCACACATATTTATGTACATTAATTGAATTTAGATGAGATCCCTAATTGCAACCACAATGCATTATCTAGCAAATGACACTGCACAAGGGATGACAGGTCTAAATGAGAGCAAACACATTTCCACTTCCCTGGGATGCCTGTTCCAGCACATATCTCGTGCCAACGGGAGAGGCTTTGCTCAGCCACCCTGGAGTGAAGCATCCCTAGGCTGGGGTCACCACAGGCTGGTGACCTGCTGGTGGCTTGGGAATAGGGAATCACAGCTCCTTCCTCAGCAGCTCCTGATGGGAGCCACCGAGGAGCATCCTCTCCTCAGCCTTGTATCCACATCCAGCTGCTGCTTTGGGTCCTGAACCCACAGCGTGCAGATAATCATGGGCAGAATTCTGGGCAAGCAGGAGGAGCTTTCGAGCAGCTGGGAGGAGGGAGATGCAGCTCAAGGTAACCAAGAGGGGCTGTGACAGAGCCATATGGACACAGTGATGCTGAGCAGAGCCAGTCCTGCTGCAGCGAGAGCAGCTGTGAGTGTGAGCTCAGAGCAAGCCAGGCTGGGTGTCTGTGCCCAGCTGAGCCCACTCCCGTCTTCAGCACAGCTTTCCAGCCTCGCACCCTTGCTGCTCCCTGGCTTTTGGAGCTTGTCACATCCCAGCACGGGCCCTCGGTGAGGGTGACACCCCAGCTGGAGCTGGCTGCACTGAGCAGATGGAACACCCCCCATTCCAGCTTTTCTTGTTAACAGGTTGTTGTTTAGACCACAAAATATAGATTGGAAGGTGACAGGATCTGGGAATTAGTCATGGCTGCTGGGACAGTCTCGTACTTCCTGATGTGGTGTGGTGGCAACTGAGCGAACACGAACTTGCTGTAATTTCTTTTTTTGGACCTAATTCCTTGTCCACCTGTGCATCAGTGCTCAGCTCTGCCAGCTCCCTGCCATAGCTGAAGGAAAGACACATGGGCACACACGTTTCTCACATCACACCCAGCACAAATCAGCACACATGCTCTTGCATTTGCTGCCAGCCAGGGCTTGGATTTTTCTAATGAGATTTCTCCACACACCCCAACAAGAAATGATGCAAGTCACAGGGCAAACTGCATTCCACCCTGCTGGGATAAATGTGAGGCACACATCTGAGGTTAATAATGTTACTCTGCATTTATGCTAATATGACAGCTGAATTTGGCCTTGGACTTCATGGGAATGAATTATCATTGTGCCTCCTGACATATCTGGATGGCAACATTTATAAAATCGAGTGATTATAAAGCCTGAACCTTTTAGCTCATCTCCCATTGCCCTCAGTAGGAAACTGTTTTGATTAAAGGTCAGACAATTTGACCCTGAGACTGCCAAGACAACATAGTTACATTTGCTGAGAAAAATGCCCTTCCCATTTTGAGCAGCATGGTATATTCCTCTCCAGCAACCTTCCCAGAAGTATTCCCAAGCTCACAGTGATGATTTGTTTGTCCTAGTGGAGCACTTCAGTGACACAGGGGGCATTTTCCAGCTGAGACCACGCACCGTACCAAATGCAATTTTTTCTGCTGGTGTTTTAATTACAGCAAAACTGAGCTTCAACATCACAATGAGCCCTTGCATTTGAAAGTAAATTCCCAATTTCTCATTGAATTTGAAACGGATGATTTATAATAGCATGAGATCATAATTAGAGGAGCTGCTACATATTTATTTGGTAATTTCCCAGAATATATTAGAGCTGATTTGGGTGCTAACTGGTTCCCAGCCAAAGGCTGCACTGTTCAGAAGTTCTTTTCCCATTCTTTCTCTCTCTCTCTCTCTCTCTCTCTCCCAGTAAATCTGGATGAAGATTTTCCATTCTGTATGGTGACAAATAACTCCCAAGACCTTTTTCTCTATTCCCATGGCCCAAACTAATTTAACTGGTGAATGGCTATAAATCTCCAAGTGGTAAATTAAAGCCACTGTCCTTGATGATTATTGGTTTCCTTGCTCTTTTACTTCTAAGCCCAGGAGATAATTCTGTGGAAATGTTGCATGAGGGTTTGAAACCAGGCACTTGCTGCTGTGGTTAGGTCCCAGGCAGAACTTACCTGCTGTTCCTTGCTGCCATTTCCTCCCTCATCTTTTTAATGTCACGCTTGCATTTCTCAATCTCCACCACTTTCAGGCCTTCCACTGCCAACAGAGGGAAACAACAGGGGTGTCACCGTGGCAAAAAGTCGCAGGATCTCGTTCCACAATGGTGCAGAATTTCAGAGAGCTCTGCCTGCGGGGTTATCCATGAGCCAGCCAGCTCTCACAGGCTGCTCGGCTCTCCCCCGTGCAGGTGCTGCCAAAAATCCTGGAAACCCACAGGAATTCTCTGCTGCCGATGCAGATAACAGAGCTTTAATTCACTGAATGGCTGTAACATCTCAGCTTTTTCCACAGCAGCAGGCAGCTCCTCTGCTGCCTTCGCTTCTCTGCTGTAGAGCACGAGTCAGAGGAAATCCTGAGCAGAAAAAAAAACCCCACTCCCGTGATGGGATGATAAGCACAGCTATGAAAACACGTCCCGGTAGGATTAGAATTCCCATTAAGATAAAAGGGTTTAATTCGGAAGTTCATGCAGAGCATTAAGAAGCTCTGAGAGGCATTGCTGGATACAGAAAAACCAAAGTGAGAATGCAGGAGGGAGAGCAAAATATTGAAAATTCTGCTCTAATGATAGATTTCTTTTTTTTTTAAACTATTGAAATCCTGTCACTTCTTTTTGCCAATCAATTCTGCAATCAAAGGTTATTTCTACATGCAGCACAGAAAATCCTATATTTCCCTTCTGCATGTAATTGTCAGAGCCACGAGGCAAAAAGTTTGATTGCCTTTTTATGCAGTGGGGCATTTCATTCCCTGTAGCTGAGAGAGCCCAACGCAGTGAGAGTGTGAGAATAATTCTCCCTTTTCTTTCCCCCTGGTTGAACTGTCAGCGTGATCAAGGACACAGAACCATTTATTACGCCCATGTCATTCACATGCAATCATTTCACAGCTCATTTGTTTACTCAACTTGTTGTTTGCATGGATGAGCCATGGCTGGGGAACTCGAGAGACTGCAGTCAGAAAAGCAGCATTCAGCAACTTTCTTAGAAAATCACAGTCTGGATCACACTTATCTGGAGGGCAGCATGTAAGTGATAAAACCCTGCCTTGAAGGGCACAGCTCTGGAGATAAGCAGAGACCTCAGGTTTGTTTTCCTTTATGAGAGTAACAACAAAGATTGCAGCTGGGAGTGGAAAAGGGAAATAAATGTGTATGAACTAAGCCCAGAATGTCACATATTAGGAAAGGGAAAGGGGTTGGTTTACGCTTGCTTACAGGGATGCCCTCCTCTTAAAAATCCCATTTAGACATTTATGGGGTTTTTTGTCATTGTTACAGGTAATTTCATTGGGTGATCACAATGTGGTGATGCAGGCAAGCTGCTATCTTCATTCTCGATACCTGCCTGCACTTTTTTGGGTGCTTTGCTCAGCAGCTGATGCTCAGCTGCAGCTGACCTGCAGGCTCTGTGCTGCACTGGTGCATTCACCTGGGAGAAATTTCTGGGTAGCCCATTTGCCAAGATGTCCAGTTGGTGGCCAGTGCCTATTTGAAGCAGTGGGAGCCAAGCAGAGTTATCAGAGTGACAGGGAAGTGGGACAGGCAACTGCAGGGAGGAGTTCTGGTGCAAAGTGGAAGCCCTGAGCATTTTTTCATGTTGCATCACTTTGGTTTTCATCCCAAATCTCTCTGGGGGAGCAGAGAAGTTACATAATTATTTTCTTAAGGTAGATGTGAAGTACTTAAAAATTGCAAAGGGTTTTTTGCCAGCTTCCTTGTTCTTGTGTGGGCTGCTGTGCAGAGTAAGTCAAGCCACGGGACAAAGCATTCCCAGTGCTTGCTCTGCATGGAATAATTTTCCAAGGAGAAGTGACAAGCTTTAGCTGGGATTTAAAAATCAGCTAAAAGATTTGGCTCCCTGAAAACACCTCTCTGGTGAGGTCTCCAGGCAGGAATGGGAAAGGAAGCCGAGAACATTTCATGTGAGGTGCAGATGTAGAGCTGTCATGAGCACTTATCCCCACACACAACGTCCCCTCTGGGGAAGAAATCCTGGAGAGCACATGTGAAAGTGGTGGAAAAAGAATCGCTGAAGGAGGCAGGAGAAAAGGCAAAATAAAAGCACAATTCTTTCCACATTTGGCTTGCAAATGATAAATGGCCATGTCATGTACACTGATTAAGGGCCCATTACATTATTCTGCAGCGAGAAATACCTTCTGAAAAGACCCTACGCTGTCTAAAGAAATCCTTGGGCTGAATCCAGCAGTGAAACATGGCTCTTAGAGCAACCTCTGGGAGCCCAGCTCAAGCAGGGAGGTTGGACCCTCCCTCTCTCCCACGGTTTTGCCGCTTAAACGTGACAGCCTGGGGAATTCATTTCAGAATGCTGCAGCCTGGGCTCTGTTGCAAACCCTGGAAGGCCAATTTCAAGCAGATGGGTGCATTGCAGACAGGCAGCCCAGAGAGCTCCTGCCCACAGGCTGCTCCATCAGCTGCTGGTTCCATCAGCAGTGGGACCCACTCAGGGAGAGAGCCCTCCTTTGGGGAGCAGGGGATTCAGTCAATCTGCATGGCACAGCAGCTCTGGGCAGCCTGCCTTCCCTAAAGCAGCAATAAAGTGCTGGAGTGGGCAGGTGCTCAGTTTTTTCCTGCCAGGAATGGCACGAATGCCTTGGTTATGTCCCTCCTGTGCCATGAGCTGCCAGTGTTGAGAGGCAGAGTGTGTGCCAGGGATCCCAGGGGGTCACCAGGGGCCAAAAGCAGCCCCTGGCTGGCTGGGAGAGCTGCTTGCTTGGGCTGCCAAGGGGATACAAAGACCCACAGCTTACCTCATTAGCTCTAATCCATGGCATTTAGCCCTGAGGAGTGGAGTTGATCAGAAGTTTCACTGAAAATGCAGAGTGACTGAGCTCATTTTTCTTTTTCCCTTTTTTTGGGGGTTCGGAGAATAAACCAGCAGAGCCTTGGGAGAAGCAGCAGCCAAACAGACAGGGAGGAATTCATACCTGGGTTCCTTTCTGGGGGGTAGGCAAGCTGCAGGTTGGCCCCTCCATGGACATCCCTCAGCACCAGGAGCCTGAGGCTGGGGTGGCCACAGGGAGAGGCTTCCCTGCAGCTGCTCGTCAAATTAGGACATTTCTTCCTCTCCCTGCTGACAAAGGATCAGTCTCCCCAAGCAGCTGCAGGGTCAAGGTAGCTTCTGGTCAGGGGAAGTTGCAGGAAAACAACTTCTTCAACTAACAAGAAACTCTTTTTCTTTTTTTTTTTTTTTTTTTTTTTTCCAAACAGCCCTAGTGGGAAAGTTCCTGCTGCAGTGCTGGGAAAGGCTCTCCCTGCTCCTGACTTCAGCACTGAGCATCCCCAAGGATGTGGCTTTTGGAGTCACAACTGGATGGCAGCACCTTATTCACACCCCTTCCCTGCCTCTCTGGGACCTGTGCTCTGCATAAGGCACTGGAACAACTCAGAAACTGCACAAGGGGANGCTCTAATGATAGATTTCTTTTTTTTTTAAACTATTGAAATCCTGTCACTTCTTTTTGCCAATCAATTCTGCAATCAAAGGTTATTTCTACATGCAGCACAGAAAATCCTATATTTCCCTTCTGCATGTAATTGTCAGAGCCACGAGGCAAAAAGTTTGATTGCCTTTTTATGCAGTGGGGCATTTCATTCCCTGTAGCCGAGAGAGCCCAACGCAGTGAGAGTGTGAGAATAATTCTCCCTTTTCTTTCCCCCTGGTTGAACTGTCAGCGTGATCAAGGACACAGAACCATTTATTACGCCCATGTCATTCACATGCAATCATTTCACAGCTCATTTGTTTACTCAACTTGTTGTTTGCATGGATGAGCCATGGCTGGGGAACTCGAGAGACTGCAGTCAGAAAAGCAGCATTCAGCAACTTTCTTAGAAAATCACAGTCTGGATCACACTTATCTGGAGGGCAGCATGTAAGTGATAAAACCCTGCCTTGAAGGGCACAGCTCTGGAGATAAGCAGAGACCTCAGGTTTGTTTTCCTTTATGAGAGTAACAACAAAGATTGCAGCTGGGAGTGGAAAAGGGAAATAAATGTGTATGAACTAAGCCCAGAATGTCACATATTAGGAAAGGGAAAGGGGTTGGTTTACGCTTGCTTACAGGGATGCCCTCCTCTTAAAAATCCCATTTAGACATTTATGGGTTTTTTTCTGTAATTGTTACAGGTAATTTAATTGGGTGATCACAACGTGGTGATGCAGGCAAGCTGCTATCTTCATTCTCGATACCTGCCTGCACTTTTTTGGGTGCTTTGCTCAGCAGCTGACCTGCAGGCTCTGTGCTGCACTGGTGCATTCACCTGGGAGAAATTTCTGGGTAGCCCATTTGCCAAGATGTCTAATTGGTGGCCAGTGCCTATTTGAAGCAGTGGGAGCCAAGCAGAGTTATCAGAGTGACAGGGAAGTGGGACAGGCAACTGCAGGGAGGAGTTCTGGTGCAAAGTGGAAGCCCTGAGCATTTTTTCATGTTGCATCACTTTGGTTTTCATCCCAAATCTCTCTGGGGGAGCAGAGAAGTTACATAATTATTTTCTTAAGGTAGATGTGAAGTACTTAAAAATTGCAAAGGGTTTTTTGCCAGCTTCCTTATTCTTGTGTGGGCTGCTGTGCAGAGTAAGTCAAGCCACGGGACAAAGCATTCCCAGTGCTTGCTCTGCATGGAATAATTTTCCAAGGAGAAGTGACAAGCTTTAGCTGGGATTTAAAAATCAGCTAAAAGATTTGGCTCCCTGAAAACACCTCTCTGGTGAGGTCTCCAGGCAGGAATGGGAAAGGAAGCCGAGAACATTTCATGTGAGGTGCAGATGTAGAGCTGTCATGAGCACTTATCCCCACACACAACGTCCCCTCTGGGGAAGAAATCCTGGAGAGCACATGTGAAAGTGGTGGAAAAAGGATCGCTGAAGGAGGCAGGAGAAAAGGCAAAATAAAAGCACAATTCTTTCCACATTTGGCTTGCAAATGATAAATGGCCATGTCATGTACACTGATTAAGGGCCCATTACATTATTCTGCAGCGAGAAATACCTTCTGAAAAGACCCTACGCTGTCTAAAGAAATCCTTGGGCTGAATCCAGCAGTGAAACATGGCTCTTAGAGCAACCTCTGGGAGCCCAGCTCAAGCAGGGAGGTTGGACCCTCCCTCTCTCCCACGGTTTTGCCTTTTAAACGTGACAGCCTGGGGAATTCATTTCGGAATGCTGCAGCCTGGGCTCTGTTGCAAACCCTGGAAGGCCAATTTCAAGCAGATGGGTGCATTGCAGACAGGCAGCCCAGAGAGCTCCTGCCCACAGGCTGCTCCATCAGCTGCTGGTTCCATCAGCAGTGGGACCCACTCAGGGAGAGAGCCCTCCTTTGGGGAGCAGGGGATTCAGTCAATCTGCATGGCACAGCAGCTCTGGGCAGCCTGCCTTCCCTAAAGCAGCAATAAAGTGCTGGAGTGGGCAGGTGCTCAGTTTTTTCCTGCCAGGAATGGCACGAATGCCTTGGTTATGTCCCTCCTGTGCCATGAGCTGCCAGTGTTGAGAGGCAGAGTGTGTGCCAGGGATCCCAGGGGGTCACCAGGGGCCAAAAGCAGCCCCTGGCTGGCTGGGAGAGCTGCTTGCTTGGGCTGCCAAGGGGATACAAAGACCCACAGCTTACCTCATTAGCTCTAATCCATGGCATTTAGCCCTGAGGAGTGGAGTTGATCAGAAGTTTCACTGAAAATGCAGAGTGACTGAGCTCATTTTTCTTTTTCCCTTTTTTTTGGGGGTTCGGAGAATAAACCAGCAGAGCCTTGGGAGAAGCAGCAGCCAAACAGACAGGGAGGAATTCATACCTGGGTTCCTTTCTGGGGGGTAGGCAAGCTGCAGGTTGGCCCCTCCATGGACATCCCTCAGCACCACGAGCCTGAGGCTGGGGTGGCCACAGGGAGAGGCTTCCCTGCAGCTGCTCGTCAAATTAGGACATTTCTTCCTCTCCCTGCTGACAAAGGATCAGTCTCCCCAAGCAGCTGCAGGGTCAAGGTAGCTTCTGGTCAGGGGAAGTTGCAGGAAAACAACTTCTTCAACTAACAAGAAACTCTTTTTTTTTTTTTTTTTTTTTTTTTTTTTTCCAAACAGCCCTAGTGGGAAAGTTCCTGCTGCAGTGCTGGGAAAGGCTCTCCCTGCTCCTGACTTCACTGAGCATCCCCAAGGATGTGGTTTTGGAGTCACAAATGGATGGCAGCACCTTATTCACACCCCTTCCCTGCCTCTCTGGGACCTGTGCTCTGCATAAGGCACTGGAACAACTCAGAAACTGCACAAGGGGAAACAAAAAAACCCCAAAAAATCAGAAAAGGAGCTCATTGACCAGGTGAATTTAATTTGGCTGTTGCACTGTAACAATATGGTCATGTTACAGTACAAGGATTGGACTGACAGCAGAAGGAGAGTGTTACCCCCTGGAATTACAGCCCAAATGCCCCAGTGAGGGTGGGATCAGGTTCCCCCGTGTTAGAGAATCAGGGGGTGCAGAGGGATGGGGGGGTCACTGCTGGGTGCAGGGAGGTGACAGACACCTGGGAGGGCTGACCAGGGGCTGGGAGGTGGAGAGGTGGGTGGTGGGGACCCTCTGCCACAGGGGCATGGCAACAGCAGGACGTGGCCCCAGAGCTCAGTGGAGGGCTCAGCAGCCCCCAAAGGCAGGGCAGGAGGAGCTCTGGATGGTGGCAGCACCAGCCAGCCCACCCTGGTCCCCACACCTGTGCCACCACAGGCTCCCACCACCACCCTCACCTGTGGCCTCTGGGGCTCAAATTTGGCCAAATTAGAAGAGGTTAGAGAGAGTGGAAGCAGGACAGGTCAGAGGGCACAACAAGGCACCAGTTCCCACTGTGATAGGAATAAAGGGACACTCACATTCCACCTTTTTCTCCAGCATTGCCAAGTGATTAGCTACTTCCGTTTTTAGCTCGTTGATTTTAAAAACCCTGGAAAGAAAACCCTCATGTATTAATGTTAAACATTTAATGCTCTACCTACCCTAAGTAATAAGAACTTCTGCTAGAAATGTCCATACTTGTGTCTCTCTGATTGATCTGCTCAGCCACGTTTGTCATAAGGAAAAGCAAGTTTTCCATGGAAATGCTGACACTGGGGCAGAAAATACATCCGGGTTTGATTTTCAGAAAAATTAACAAGTAATGTTCTTCTTAATGGCCCTGGGAATGTACTTTGGCTCTACAACACTTCATCTACCCCATCTTGCTACTGTACCCCTCCAAGGAAGCAAAGTTAAATTGATAATTGTTAAATTGATAATTCATAATTGTCCAAGAGCAGCGTCTTGGTGTCTGCACACTCTGAAACCTCCTCCCCCCTGTCGAGTTATGCTGGTGATTTGCTGGGCTGTGGTGGGACTCATCTGTCTTATTGAAACCAGCTGGGATTAAATAAGCAGCTACACAGATGTTGAGAAATCCTCTCGAAGGAGAGACATTTTTGGGTGATAAAGAGGAAAATGGAACAAATCTGATGATTTGACTACTCAACGAAGAAGCATGTCTTCTGCTTCCTAAGAGAGAAGGAGCATTTACTACTTGATCTCCTTTTTAGATCAAAGATAATCACTGAAATTGCTTTTGGTTTAAGCTACTGTATTGCTGTCAGCAGGAAATAATGTGTCCCAGACCTAAATTTGGCAGGCAGAGTGGGATTTGAAAGATGTCTTAAATGCCCCTCTGCCTCCTGTGAAAATTTCACTTCAGGCTGATAAAAGAAATCACATTTTAAATTAATAATGATGTTCAGTTTCTTACCTCGAGAACTGCTCAGCAATCTGTCCCAATAAATTCTGGAACAATTCCTCTTTGTCTGAAAAGAAAAATAGAAGGGAGACATGATAGAAAAAATAGAAAGGAAAGAAGACACCCTCAACCCTTCTTCAGAGTGGCATCCTCAGGCTTCCAGTTCTGATGGTGAGGCCAAAAACTGTTTTGGTCCTTGGAAGAGTGACCCTTGGAAGGGTTTGGGAAGGACTCCTTGTCTCACCTGCCTTCCTCTTCCTGCAGATTGCAGTCAGGGTTTCTCAGAAGTTTTATTTTTGGGAGGCTGGGTCTCTGAGAAGGGGTTTGTTTTAAGGCAGCACTTTGTGGAGAGGAGACCCCTTTCACAGATCTTGGGTGGGACACCCAGAATCCCAGCTTGCTTTTGAAAATTTCTGCTGACAGTCAGAGTGTCTGCAGCACCAGCACACCATGACAGAGCACCCATGAACAGCATCACACCTCATGAGCACAAAATAAAACCCAGCCTGCCTTCCAGCTTTATCCTGGAGACCAATTTTTCTGCTGTAAATGCCTAAGGGTTGTGCTGCCTTGCACGAAGCCCAGGAAAACATGAGATGACGAAGTGCTGTCCCTGCAGAACGAGGTCTGCCCTTCCTGGTTTGTGGGATGGACACAGCAGGGAACAAGTTTCCCAGCCTCTTTTCCCTTGGGAACACAGCTTGGACGGAGCTGCCACAGAGGTCCTGTCAAGATCCCATTGTTCCCTGAGTTCCTGCAGCACTGGGAGCTCCCCAGCTCAGGATCTTCTGCTGGCTCAGGAAAGTCAGCCCGATGGAGCCCCAGCCTTTCCCAGGATTTCAATCACCAGCACAGGGAAAAGCAAACAATCCCTCAAAACAAGACCCTAGATTTCAAGGGACAGCACACTTTAGGAAGGAAGAAGCACGACGGCAATGTTTTCCCATCTTTTAGGATGTCCACGCAGAAAGGGGAAGCACAAATCACCTTTGCTGAGCCCTGAGATGCTGTTTTGGGATTGTTCCCTCTTTCCCCCACCAGCTAATGCAAACTGCCCCAAAGCGCTGCAGTGATTCCTGCACTGGGGATATGCTCAAGGAAAGGAAACACTGAGTGCACTCATCAACACACTGCAGATTACAGAACACCTATTTATACCCCACACAGAAACACCCCGATGGCATTTCTGCAGATACTTCTGTCCTTCCCCGAGGGAACACAACAACTCACAAGTGCAATCACCCAGGCAAAAGACATCAGATAGAAGTATACCCAGCATTTACAATTTATTTCTAAATAATAGCTCCTGTACCTGTTGAAAGGATTTGCAATTCCTTGGGTATTAGAGACGTCAGTGATACTTGTCAAGAGCATTCACACTGCTGGTCAAAACAATTTGCCTGTTACCCCCTGTGTCTCAAAACTGGAGCTAGCATTCTGTGCTCTGAAAGTCTCAGATCTAATTCCTTCTTTTTTTTTTTTTTTTCCTTTTTTTCCTACCCCCAGCTCCCAGCAGAGCAGCTAGCAGAGAAAACAGAGAGATTGGTTCGTCTCACAGAGACCCATTTTCCAGTTTTCTCACAAAACCCAAGCGCTGAAACAAAGCAAACGCTGTGTCCTATTTAAGAAAGGAGGAAAACTTACCGAGGGCAGCACCTGGGATGGCACCAAATCCAACAGAGAAAATGAGCAGAGAAAGCAGAGAAACCCGTGTCCTCTCCCTTCAATGCTGCTCAGCCCTCTGACAGTGGCTGGAGCGTGCCAGAGACTGACAAGTTCCCTATAAACACTGTTCCAGTTAAAAAAAAAAAAAAAAAAAAAAAAAAAAAGCCAACAATCTTACTTTCACTCCCTCCCCCTGTCAAAACTCACTTGGAGTGCTTGGAAATTCTCGTCCAGGGAACAGTCAGCTGCAATCTGATGTTTATGGATGTAATAAAAGACTTTCAAAATGAAGATGTATGTTTTTATAACCCTAGGGTGCAGTAAAGATATATGACTAAGAGTGGCAGTTCGCCTCATCTTAAAGAGACAAAGATCCATTTCTCTGCCCTGTTCCTTTCCGAGAAGAAGACCTCTGGTAACCCCTGTTTCTGAAGAAAATGAGACATTGCTCTGACGTTATCTAGTCTTGCTTGTCCCCTCCTTTGTAGGACAGGAGAGTTAAGTGTGCTTTTGCTCCCTTCATTACCCTCTGCCTTCTTTTTTTAGATATTTCTGGGCAGGGCTGGAGCCCCAGGTGCACACAGACACCTTTTACCTCGGATTGCTGCATTTGTTTTGCCGTGATTCCCTCTCTGAAAAGGAAATCCTACTGCAAGCAGCACTGGCAGCAGCTCTGGGCACTCTGCTGAGGCTCCTGTTGCAGCATCCCCAAATAAACCCCTTTTTTCTCCCCTCGCCTCCCACCAGCACCGTGAATGTGCCATGCTCACAAACGCAGGTGAAGGATTTTGCACAACACTCTGGGTGTTTTACAGCTGACAAACGACAATTAGAACTCCCCATCCCTCCAGAAGATGCTGCAATGGTTAATGCTGGGCAGGGGACAGGTCAGCCCAGGCTTCCCCAGGCTCCCCGTGGCTCATTGCCCAGCTCACTGCAGGCACAGGGACTCCTGCTCTTTGCCCTATGGCCTCTGCCAAGCTCAGCAGGGAGCTTGGCCAGCACACCGTGGAGAAAGGAGCAGTTCTGCCTTGTCTCCAGCAGGTTCTGGGAAGAAAGCAGGTGCTGGGGAATATGGCAGCAGCAATTTTTCCTGTGACTCCCACTGTGGCCGGGTGGGAGGCTGGCAGGGACAGCACACCTTCCCTGCCAGACTGGCACCAGGTACACAGGAGCAGCTCAGGTGACCCTGCACTGGCACAGGTGCTTTATTACCCACGGGCAGGCACCCTGTGCCTCACACTCAGCAGTGCCTCTCCCTCCACCCTCTCACCCTCTGGGATCGTGGCCAGGGAGCCACCTCCATCCTCCCACTGTCCCTGGCTCCCTTTGCCACCCTGCCAGCCTCAGCAGGCTGTGGGCAGGCAGTCCATGGGGTTGGGGGGGTGGCTTGGCTTCCCCCTGTCCCTTCTGCTGTGGCCAAGCAAGGCTGGGAGGGCTTGGGCATCTCCCTTTCCTTGCCAGCATCGGGCTGGTGAATCCCTGCCCTGTTTCTCACAAATGCTTCTGCCTCTGGCTCAGGCTTCTCTCTGCATTTCACTTTCTGTGGTTTGCTTGGATCAAGGCAGTCAGAGTAATTTGAAAAACCCCACAAGCAGCCAGAGTCTTGGGAAAGGGTGAATTTCAAGCCCAAGCCCACATCCATGAATCTGTCATATTGAGCCCCAAATTCATGAAATTCACAGCTCAGGTTAATTTGGGCTGTCTCATGCAAATTCCCCATCAGGTGAGCAGTCCCGAGTTGGCCACATCCCGGTGCATGCATCCATGTGGGATGCACTAAGGAGCAGCATTTAGGAGTGGGAGGAGGATTTTTCTCTCCCAGTCTCTGCCTCCTCAGTCTTGCCTGAGCTGTGAGCATGAACAAGATTCCAAAAGGAGAAGAGAGACATGCCAGAATAAGAAGATTTAGACACAGCAACAAGCTTCTGTTGTTTTAGCAATACCAAACTGCACAAGATCTCGGGTATTGAATCATCCAGGGGGAAAAAGCATCCCTGCAGATCTCTAGTGCAGCCACTGCTGGGCTTTGCTGCCCTACCTTTGGAACAGTAGGAAAGTCCCTGTGAGTGTTTTCCTGTCCTTTCAGGACCATAGTGGCTCAGACTCACTTGATCTCCACAGTAGCTCCTTTCTCTGCACTACCAGAAATGCAGCAGACTTCAATTTTATCCCCCAAGAGGGTGCTGCTAATAGGGTTTGTTCAATTAATTGTCACCTCCATCTAATCTATAAGTGCCCGAAGCCTACCAATTAGAGCAACAGCACAGCCATCAATTCGTGAGTTTTGAGTCATTTCACCAGGAGGACACAGACCAGAGCCCTTCTCCTGTTGGGAGGGAGAGGATGCTCACTCAATGGGCTTGGAAATTTAAATACCACAGAGAAAAGGCTTTGCCACAGGGGTTTTGATGCTCTCCTTGGATAGCCGTGTGTCTACTGGTCCAGGGCCATGGGAGGAGGGACAGGGTGTGATCCAGCAGCTTCACAGGCTCAGAGCCAGCCAGCTCTGGGCTCCCCTAACCCTCACCCTGACCCTAACCCTAATTCTTGCCTTCACCCTCACCCTAATCCTAACACTTGCAGACAGCTGAGCCCTGACACATCAATTGCTGCTGCATCCAACACTCTCTGGAATAATAATATTTTTATTTCCAACCCTCTCCCATGACTGTGGCCAGGAAATGAAGAACTGTTTCTTAGCAGGACACCAGTGGATATCTCCTCTGCTAGGTAGAAGCCACTGCTCATGTTTTTCCTCCCGAAGGATTATATTTCCAGTCCCACCTTTTACAGCCTCTGCTCCCTGTGTCATTCTTCTGCAGCTGCCTGGGAGACTGCTGAAAGGAGGTGCATTACCTCCCACCACTGTGAAAATTGGGGTGACCCCCTTTTTGGCACATATTTGGATGAGTTGCTTTGGGAAGCAGGATCATGCAGGCAGAGTTGTCTGAGAATTGAAGAATAGAACAGAGCTGTGGTTTTTTTCTTTTAATGAAGAGGAACACTTTCCCACTCTGTTTATTCTTCCTACTGTCAGCAAAATGTCAGGAATGCTTAAGATTAATGACAAGCCATGTGAAAGAGAAAAAGATACCAAGGAACATTAGTTCCATCACACTCAGCTCAACTTTCTTCCTCTTTCCATAGCAGACTCTGTCTTATGTTTTGACAACTATGGCCAGAATATTTCTTATCCTTTTCAGTTCAGATCTTTGGAAATCCTTGTTTTATGAAATGCAGGGAGTGAAGAGAGATCTTGCTGACACAGTGAGCTGTGCTCTGCACAAAGCAGAGCCACGTGCTGTCAGCTGGGGATGAAAAATGAGGGCCTTGGGAGAGTGTGAAAAGTCATCCATGGTCCTCTAAAAATATACTGTTAGCTTCATGTTAGGGGAATAAAAAACTACATTCAAAAAGGAGTATACTTTCTAGCAAGCCCCTCATTCAGCTTCCCAGCTGGTATAACTCAGTGGCATTCCCTGGTGGAGCCATGCTGGCCCCATTTCTCTGTCATGGGGCAGTTGGAGACTGGCTACTCACACCAGCTGGGACACAGAGACACGTGCTCCACCCCACCTTTTCTCATGTGATAATGCAAACTGTGCACTCCCAGGCCAGGAGAGGGATGCTGCTGCAGCAGGATTTGTCACAATAAGGAAATAGTTTGTCAGACAGCTTCTATGCCTTGGCAGTCACGTGTCCCTTGGCTGTGACTATCTCCTTCTGGAAATCACTGACATGCAGCCTGTTTATGGCTTGTTACAAATCTTACTGTGGGTAGGCTCTTCCCTGCTCCCTACCCTCCGTGCTCTCTTTGCTCTCTGTTCACCTTTGCTCCCTGCATGCACAATCTCCCTGCTGTTGCCTCTCTGTCTTCCCCACATCCTCCTTTCCAGATGTTTCTGCCAATGCAGATGCCTCACAGAACAGCCTCAGTTCCCTGTGCCTCCCCTTCTAGAAGAAGAAGTGCTGTCAGGCACTCTGTTTTCATCCATAATTCAGGATGAAAAAGGGTGAAAAGCCAGTAGATGAGGTGGGACCACTAAAACATCATCTCTCCTATGCCAACTTCACTACTTTGTCCAGCCCCAGGCTTTCTGTCTCATTCCTGTTCTGCCTGTGCACTCCGTGTTTCCAGGACAATCATAACCTCTTGTCCCTTGTCTCTCCTATCTTCCCATTTGCCTGCTCCAAGGAATGTCCCCAGCTGATGTCTCCTCTCCTTCTGCAGCCCCTGCCAGCCTCTCCCCGTGGCTCCAGAGTGTTCAGGCTGCCCTGATGTGAGTGGCAGCAGAAGCTGCAGCTGCACAGATGAGAGAAACCATGAGCCAGATGCTCACAGGAATTGCCCCAAGCCAGTGTTCTGCTCGTGTCTGAGAGCTGCTGGCCTGAGGGTGATACTGGCAGGAAAAGAGAAGTGGGAGGAGTGGCACTTGAGCCCTGCCTGTGGCTGGGGAATGTGCTCCAGATGTGTTCTTTCACCCCGGCCCTCTTTAATCTTGTCAGGTGAATTTAAATATTTATCACACTTAGAGCTACCATGCCCACAACTGAAATTATGTTCTCTCCTCAGCCATTTGGAAATAACATGAGGCCAAATGTTGTGCTCAGCTTTCCAGCAGAGCTTTGCTGAGGAATGGGCAGGTTTAACAAAACACTGCAGGACAGGCTTTCATTTGTCTTGCCTGAAAAACCCCCAGTGCTCCATGCTAGACTTTCCCCAGGGCATCAGGAGTGCTGAGCCAGACCAGAACAAGGCACTGGGAAAGTTCCCTGGACTCAGCCATTTACCTGATCCTCAAATTCATTGAAATTCTGGCACGATTTTTAAACTTTCCTGCAGAACACTGTGATCAAACACTTCTTATTCTGCTGCAGCTACAACCATGACACCGACATCTTTGGGTTTTTGCTTCATAATTTCCACATGCAAATGTTTGCAAATCCAGCTTTACTTAATTCAGCTTTATTAGATCCAGTTCAAAAGGGTCATTTTACCTGAGAGCTGCTCAGTCACAACTGGTATCACTTTGTATGGAGACCTGGAAGAGTCACAGAGGGTTGATGTAAATAACACTCAAAATGCAGTTTGTAGTTCACATCCATATTCCCTGAGAAACAGGGAGAAATATCTGAATATATTCTAAGCTCTCTTAAAACCTGTGAGTTTGAATGAGCAATAGGCACTTTTCCTGAACATACAACCCTGTGGTTTACCAGAAACAGAATCCTAGAACCATAGAATGGTTTGGGTTGGAAAGGACTTTAGAAATCACCCAGTTCCAACCCCCTGCCATGGGCAGGGACACCTCCCACCATCCCAGGTTGCTCAGAGCCCTGTCCAGCCTAGCCTTGAACATTTCTAGGGATGGAGTAGCCACAATCTCTTTCTGCTCTGTGTGCACTGTCCTGTGCAGGAGCTCCCTCCCAGCTGCTGGGGCTCCACCACACGGTATCAATAACAGCAATGGCAGTGATAAATCATGATGAAATATGGGCCAAAGCCAGCAATGAAGAGAGCTAAACGCATCACAGGCTTTGTGTTTGCTTTTCAAGTAATCTGCTGCTTGTGCCCTAGCAGAGAATCAGGAGTGGGGGAACAACAGA